TATATCTTGTTAGTAAAACATACAAAAGCAGTCATGATAGAAATCTTTTTTTATCACGAACAACCATCGGATCTTTCTACCGTTCCACCTCAAGACAAGAAATCCAAACATTCTTTTTTTTCCATATTAAGATGACTTTTCTTCCATTCACCTGGACGACTCCAGAGCTCCTTAAGTGCCACTAAACTCTCCAGGATTCAGTAACTGTCTGGCACTCGCTGTGACCTCATTTGAAAGGCCCTCAGGACCTCAGTGGCTGCTGTCAAACGCCGCTGTTTTCACTGAACGCATTTCTAAGAAAACTATGTGTTGCCGAACAGCACCTGACATAGAAATAAGTCATTTTATATTTATATTTGTTGATACAGAATGCAATAAATCGTAGCAACAGAACAAAAATAAAAAGGAAAGCAGTATTTTTAGCCATGGCAGACTCTCATGATCCCTTCAGAATAATCACTTTGGTAATCCCTTAACTGTTCTACCAGCAACATTCGCTCATAAATTTAATTTGTCCAATACAATAATTTCCTTCATAACCAAATACCTGCAAAAATAATGTCATTCCCATAAGCCTCAGCTGTACTTTGTGTCAGGTGCTAATTAGCAAAAAATGCTAGCATGCTAAATCAAGATGAACATAGTGAAAAGTATACCTGCTAAACATGCTCAGCACTTTGGCATTAACATTAGCATGCATCAGTGTTTAGCTAGCACTGCTGTAGCCTCACAGAGCCGCTAACTCTCTTGTCTTGTTAAATGATTGAGGGAACGACATGTAGCCAGCAAACAATGGAGAGTAAACAGGAAAACATATAAGCAAATCAAATAAATGTGCGTTCCAAAATCATTTTCTCACCCCACTAGCGGCATGGTCCTAGGGTTGGGTCCACCGCTGTGGTCCAGATTGAAATATCAACTGTTGGATGACTTCCCATGATATTTTGTGTGGTCATTCACGGTGCCCAGAGGATAAATCGTAAAGACTTTGGCGATCCACTTTTCATCTAGCGGCAACATTTGTGGTTTTTTAGTGAAATTTCTGGACAACTATTGGATGGATTGCCACAAAATTTGTCCCCCTAAGTGCGAAGTATCTAACGTTAGCATGCTAACACCCTAACTTAAAAACACTATCTGCTTTATTTAAATAAGTTGTTAACCACATTAATGTATATAATTGTTTGTTTTCATGGAAGGAAACTACAACCTGAATTTCATTATACAGCCCTGCGCTGTAAATTGACAATTAAAATACCCTGTATCCTTGTAAACATCAACATGTTAGAATTTTTATTTTGAGCAATTAAGAATGTCGATGATAGCATTTAGCTCACACAGACTGTAGACTTTAATTCATTTTCATTATCTTAATTTAACAGATTCCCTTTCGAAAAAGGCACATGAAAATCAAATTATTGGAAACTTGCTGGTGGCCACTGACTTGCTTTTAGCTATCGGTACTTTTCCACATCAATAGAAGCATTGGCAAGCGTTCTACATTACCCATCAGGCTACTGCACTCAGCTGTAACCAGAGTCCATAAAGGAGAGAACCTGAGAAAATGTACCACTGTCAGCCTCGTGTAAAATGTCTGACCGAGATCTCTCAGTCTCCGTCCGCAGAAACGTTGGGAGTCATTTGGCGTATAATGATCTATATGATATCGGACGGGGCGAAATCTGGTACAGAGCAAGAAGAAAAACACTGGGCCAGATTCCTGCCATTTAATATCCCATTAAAGGGTAATTTGGCATGAAACCCCTGGCATGTGTGATGGAATTCTACTGCTCCTTGTGTTCAATGAAATTCCCCACGGGCTTTGGACTGTAGGTGTGTGTGCGTGTGGATGTTTGTACTGGATGTGTGTGTGTGTATGTGCTTGTATGAGGCCTGTGAACGGTACATGAGTGTTTGTGTGTGTGTGTGTGTGTGCAAGTGAGTGAGTCCTTTCAAGCCAGCAGAAGTGTAGTTTTCCACTGGGGTAAATCTACACTCTCCATCTCCTGCCACGTCTGACTGCCCTCTGTAGTCACAGATAACACTGTGGGCTCAACAACAGCCAAATGGCCCATTAATGGACTTTTAGCCAATGGGATAGTGGTTGCCAGGCACGCCACTCTGCTTTGACCAATCAAAATTGTTTTACAGGGCAGGAATTCGGCAAAAGAATGTGCCAAAAGACACCTCTTTCTTTCAAGTTCACATTCTTTTCCTCGCTACTGGAAATGTCAGACATTTTGACCAAATGTAGGGGGAGCCATCCACAGAGCTTTAACCTGATTTATTCTGTCTTTTTTCTCTGTATAACTGATATAAGTACAGATTTATGTGAAATCTGCTACTCAGGGAAACATTTTTCTCTTATAAAAACACAATAAAACTATTTGTAAAAGAGGAATGTGTTCACTACAAAAATATCTGGTATGCGCAGCCACAGGAGAAAAAACTTGCAGAGGAAATGATGCAAACCCGAGCTTAAAATTATTTCTCTCTGCCTCCCTCTTTCATTTGCTGTCTGCGTCGGCGAGATCAGATGTGGAATTAAAATTTCATTTTCCCAACTTTTCTTTGTTTCGTTTGTTCAACTGGGCGATCGCATCGGAGGGCCCCAGCAGGTGTTCGATCCCATGAGTCAACACCGCCTCGGAGAACTTTCCATGTGTGGATTCAAAAGCTTCTCTTGCATGTAACAGAGTAACACTCCTGTAAAGGTGCCAGAGCCCGAGAAATCCAAGAGGGACAGGTCAGCGCCAAGAAATTATATTAACCATAGAGATAAAATAGTTACTCTCTATTAAAAACAGCAGGCCAGCCAGGTGAATTAATCCTTTTTTTGGGGTTTCTCTTATTAAAGTCTGCTAGAGAGGGAGTTATAAGTCTCACTTGGTCTATCCTTCTCTTTCTTTCGTTCTCCATCTGCGAGTCCCAGCAGGTGCTTCAATGTGAAAAAGCCCAATGTTCGCACAGGTCACGGGGGTTTCAAGTTTTTCGATCGGGAGGATTGTAACCGTCGCAGCCATTGATGCATTTCATGCAGTCCCCACACACACGCCCCACCCTCCTTCACGCTCACATAATATGAAACACATTTGCCCATATGGGAGCTTTGAATGAAACACAATAAAACCTGCTCTTCCCTGCACAAAGCCCTCATCTTCCGTCACTCCATCACCTACACCTTCAAATCCGCCCCCTCTGGGTCCTGTGCTCAGCAGAAAGTGAAAACATTACTATTGGTTATGAAGTGCGCCTGAACAAAGGCCCAGTGTTCTCAGCTGAAGAGGAGCTTGGACAGATCTGACCTTGATTGTTCACAGCTCCGACGGGTTGTGAAAGTCTTTGCAGAGTTTTGTGATTTGCGAGGGCCTGACACTAAATTCACAGTTAGGAGAACACCAGTGTCAATTACATCACTGTGAGACATTTGAAGCTGTTTCAACTTAAAACTTTCCCCTGCTGCCTTGAGAATGTGAATCAACTGGAGTAATTGGCTCAAAGTCAAAACGTTATTTAAATGTAACACAAAGACAACATATGAATCTACTCCCAGGAAACCTGTTAACAAGCAGGACACACATCAAGTTATATATTCTATTCTTCAAATGACAAAAAAAGTGTCTCTAGAGAGTTTTGACCCTCAAATAATGCTTGCTAGGAAGTCTACTAATATACTAATGCTTCTCTTGAATTTATCTTTAATGAGTTAAGTGAACACTCAGCAGTACTTTGACTCCACTCAAATTTTAAATCACAACTTCAACTAATAATTCTAAGTTTTGAAATTGTCTGAAAATAAAATGTTTAGGTTGAATTAATGTGAAATGAACATATTTCCATTAAACTAATGAACACTAAATTCCACTAAATTCTTGTATCTTTTGCAGTCATTACATCCCATTTATTTATTTCTACATCTGCTCTAGATTTCCTACAATTTTGCAGTTTTGCTGGGGTCTTTTAACTTTATTTGGATTTCTATTTTGAAAAGTTTACACTGCTGAATCTAGCTTAAAATCAACTGCTGTACAACAAAGATGCCCTAAATAAAAACATGTGCTAGTAATTAAGTCCGTAAGGCGACATTTTTTAAAGGATTATTTCCTTCCAGTTAGTGTCAAAACCCAGAAAAAGAACATATTGATATGAAAAACACACATCTGGGTAAAAAGAGACAGTAAAACAGTAGCTTCATCTGACTTCATCTCACTGACACTGGAATGTGTTTTTCATTCTGAAAAAAAAATGATAGAAAATGACTTTCTCTGAAGAGAGCAATATGAATAATTCCACTGGCCACAAGAACATCAGCAGCAAAAATGTAGTGACCTATATCAAGAGGTTCAACTTTGTTTTTCATTGTTACTTTTTTTTAAAGGTTATATCCACATCGTCTAAAAAAAGAAACGCATGCCCCTGTAACACACGGTCTGCCGACACACAAACACACAGCCCGTTTGCCTTGCCCCTGCTCTCTCAGCAGGACCTCATGGCAGGATCAAAGGCATGCCAAACAGTAGTCTGAAAGTGAGCATGTTCCACATGGCCTTGTTGTGTCTGGCCCGCTAAAACCTGGTCAGAGGAACTGGCTGGGGGGAATTCCTTCTCTGCTCGGCTGCAGTGAGTGAGAGACAGCCAGTGTGAGGGTGTGATGTGACAGTACATGAGCTCCTCTGTTGTAGATATATTATAAATATATTTAAAAGGCTCACTGTATCCCTTTACTGCATCTCCACTTCAGTAGTGCAAGAATCACATTCGGCAACGCCATATTAAATTAAAGTGTGGATGTGGAAGAACACAGTGTGAGAAGGCAGCAGCTGTGTAATATAGAGAGAGGCAGGAGGACAGGCAGAGAGGCAGTTGGGAATAATGGACCAGCTGCAGGAATTAAAACAAAATGTGCAGATGGAGGGACAAAAAAAGAACAAAAGTGAAGGATGTCGTGTGTGCGAGGGAGACTCTTGAAGGGAAAGAATGCAAGAAATGTGGCTCCTTACCAGCCCGATAAACAAAGTTTGCCTCAGCCTCAGAGGAGGACGGCGAGAGCAGCTCGTCGTCGTACTCGTTGGAGCTGAAGGAGCCGGAGTGGTTCCTCTTGCGAGCGTCCATGACGGCGTTGGCCACCATGACGTGGCGCAGTGAGTCGTTCAGGTAGCGATGCAACAGGCTGCTCTTGTACTTGGGTGGAGACACGTAGTCCTCGGCCAGTGAGGCGGCCTCGGCGGCCGAGCGCAGCCCCGCGCCCATGCCCATACCCATACCCATACCCATACCCATGGCCATGCCCACCATGGAGGAGCCCTCCTTCTTGATCACACTCTGGTACATGGGCTTGTTGAGCTCTTCTGGGCCGCTCTGTGTCCTCTGAGGGTTGTCCCCGTCTACACCATCAAGGGGCAAAATAATTGAAAAAAAATAATTTAGTTGCAATGCAGAAAAAATTAAATTAAATAAAGGGCTATCTATCTTTGTGAACAGTGTTTTTGTTTATTCATACTCACATTTGCATAAACATAATTCAAGTGAACCTATTGTCACAACTTAAATAAATGCATGGTTGCAAGATTAAACTTTTAATTTATTGATTTAGATAAAACTTTTAAGTTGCAAACATTATTTTGATGAGTTGTGTTGACATCATTTATGTGGGGAAACAAGTTGGAACAACGACAACAATTTTTATGAGTAGCCTAATCAACTTAAAAACATGTGTTTGTGCTATCAGGAATTAAGTAAGTGATAATTAAAAACACCTTTGACTGTAGAGGAAATGCTAATTCCCCTATCCCAATGTAGTACATTTGTTGAATATAATTTCATTAGAAGTTGCCATAACTCAAAAGGATTGATGCAAACTGTTGCGTTATTTTTTTTTGTTGAGCCAAAACATTTGTTTTTAGAGTGTACGTCTTCCTACTTTGATTCTTCTGTGCCTTTTTCTCACCTCTAACTCAAAAACTGTTTGTTGATATGTGTGCAATTGTTTGTAGTTCCTTGTGTTTTCAGAAATTTTGCATATATTTGCAGATATAATGAGCTATTCTTGAAATACATGATTTTTAATACACATTTGATTTGAATCTATATGTCAAATCATGTGTAATTATTTGTAGACGACGAATGCTTTTTAATAACTGTATAACTACACACATCCATTTATATCTCAGCACCTGTATACAGTATAAACTCCATTCGAATTTTAAAAAGTTTATTATTGCACACTAATCAACCGTGAATACCTTCATTAAGACGAGGTAGCAATCACATGCATTTTCTTCAGCAAATGCTTCTTCAGCATTGCACGTTCATCCCCACTGACTCACAGTCTGGTTATTTTGAGCTAATCTTGAATCTAAATACCAGGGCAGGGAGATTTCAACCTGGCACTCCTGCCCTCCTGTTGGCATCGCCTCAAGAGCAGAAAGCCCAGCCGAGACTTAAGACGCATTACCAAACCATAACGGATGGTAGTCTATTTCCTCTCCATCAAGAGCACATTGCCCCGCTATTCCCCTGCAGAAATAAATAATTTCCAGGGTGCTCTGCAGCCCAAAGACTGAATTAAAGCACAGGTCCCTACCTGATGAAAGGAACAGGGAGGAAAGATAAAACACCACACAGAAAAACCAGATATCCTCTGGCAGCAGGGAAATCAGGGAGAAGTTCACTCTAGTTACTGTCCCTGCCAAGACTGTAATTTTGTAATTTGGGAGGTTGGACATTTGATTCAGTCTGGGCCAAATTAAAATTATAGCTCCCACATATCAGAAACACATGGAGGTAGCGTACTTGCCGTCTGAGCTGGATTCCAGCGAGCGCTTCAGCCTCTCCTGTGAAACCATACAAGCGATAATAAATCTGACCCGTCATTATAATCCCAAGACAGCGCCCTTTAATATCTAGGTCTGCCACCTTTGTAAATACTACTTCCTTTTTCACACATATAGTACATGATAGCGTGGGCTCTCCAGATACCATGCAGAGAACAGCATTTTCTCTCTTGGACTTGCTACTGTAGCTACAAAACAAGCTGGACCATTTTAGGACAGTAAGAGGAATGTACGCCGAGTTAGAGGGGTCAGGTCTGGCCCCATAAATAGCCTCTGGAACAAAAGCATAGTGCATAAACATAATGGAGGGCCTTTTAACGCATGGGTCAGAAGTGTGAGCAGGCTGCGGATAGCTTCATAACCATAATGTGACAGGGAGAAGAGTCAGGGAGATATACAGAGCCTCCGGTGGTACAGTGGCCTGTGGCGGACACAATGCAAACACCATGCGCACATTCCTCTTCCAGCCACACGCTCAGCCTCTCCTCCTCAAAAATTTAATTAGAGATCACTGACACCACAGCGCTCTTCCTTTCTGTTCATTCTCTCACTGCGTGAGTATGTATGTTTTATGTTTTTTTTGTTTCCTGACCATGTTTTCAGTGCTGTCAGTGAGTAGAAAAAAGCAGTTGCTGTAAATACCAGGCTGACAGAGAGCTACTCATTTTCAATTGTAGGCTGAGAGACAGAGGTTGGCTCAGCGGGGTGTCTTAATGACAGCGTGTCGCAGGCCGCCGGCGTCGGTGTCTCTCGGCTGGGCTCACACACACCATTTATATACATCCAGAACATGGCTCTGCATAGCATAAGCCCGCTTTAGGACTGGCACAAAGGGAGAGGCCTTTGGTCTCATTTCATGTTATAATGCTAGATTTGAATTTTGAAAGAAGCATGATGTAAGGAGATTTCCTGGTCACTCTGTACAAAGAGCAACAGGTTCACACCAGAGTGTGTGACCAATTTCTAACTGAGGGCTGAGCCATTTAGCTGCGATATCTTTGAAGTGATCATCCATCAGACTAATGGATAGAGCAGTTACGCAAATGGAAAGATTTTCCACCATGCTTATAAAACATACATGTTAAATCCTGCCAATCAATGTAGATTCAAGACTATAATGCAGCTTTTGTTTTCATCTAGAGCCAGTTTCAATAAAAGAGAACTGTAGAATAACTCCAAACCTCCTACATCCCCATAACAAGCAACCAGAACTACATGTTGTGCTAAATAAATAACAATATTGACTATGTTTTGATGTATTTTTAGTATTGAGGGATGATATGCATTGCTGGATTAGCTCCTAACTGCCTGTTCTTACTGATCTCTCTGCACTATTTATAATAATAAAATGGAAGCTTCATTATATTTTTAATATAATTTGACACAGGTTTTTACAAAATATATGGTAGTAAATGGATTAAAGACAAATGTGCGTAGGAATAGGTATCGTGTAATCACAATAATCAACTGAAATAATGAAGATCCTTGAAGAAGAACTATAGCCTGACACAGAGCTAGTGTTATTTGTGAAACCAATAAAAGAAATATAAAAAGCTTCTCAGTGAGAAGGACACTACTTTCAGGGAGACAGGGAGCGCTGAGTAAACTTCTCTCTGCTGTTTTAAAAGGGCACTTCAGTGTTATTATTCAGTGTTCATAGTTTGATACAGTTGGGGGGCTCAAAATAGACAGGAGACAGATTTATCTGTGCAGGAGGGTCTCTGGTGTGGCTTTAAAAACGCTGGATCCTAAAATTCCCATAATGCAACACAAGAGAGTCTTTCATTAAACCCTTCTTGGCTCCTACATGCCCACTTCTTTCAAACCCCATATTTCCAGGGTGTAATGCAGACTTTCTGTTATAGATTTGGACTAAACAGTCTGTGAAGAAGGTCTGGGGCCACAGGGCAGTTGCCCATTTCAGTAGTGGAGCTGTGATACGGGCGGTTTGTGAAATCTCTACCATCCTTTTTACAACACAAACCTCTTTTAACTTGGAAGAAAGAAGGAGCCGCTGCTCGCGCCGTACCTTCTGAGCAGCTGTCGTCGCTGCTGACGCTCAGCCTCTCGGCGTTGCCCTGCACGTATTTGTTGTAGAGCTTGATCCTGAGTGCCCAGCTCAGGTCTGGCTGCCTCACTGTGTTTTTCAGTCGCCTCCTGGCATTGGCAAACCAGTTGGAGACCTGAGAGAAAGGGAGGAATAGAAAGAACACAGCAAATAGAAACACATGTTATTGTTTGGACTCCAAACACTTCCACATCCATAGCAAAACAAAGACTATCTTTAAAGAAAACGTCTGCTCCCTGCCTGCCATCAGTCTCATTCAGAAAAACCAAGAGAGACTCCAGGCAAAAGACAGAAACAGAGTCAGGTTTCTTAAAGCACTGAGCTTTAAGAAACATCCCAGACGCTCCGGAGAGACACCCCAGCATGCATCTTTTCTGTATCAACGCCATGTAGAAGCGTTTAACACCCTCCAAACGGCCAACGGCCAGTGAACGCAACGTTTCATTAACTAATGTTCCGAACGAGATGTACGTCCCCCGTGCTTATTCTGGACCCGCGCAGCCTCCCTCCAATAATAAATTTTTTCCAACACTGTCTTCAAGACGCAATAAAAAAGACACTTGAGCCGGCGCTCTTCCTTTCACTGGGAAGGGAGACCATTAGATGTTATACTAGAATAACTTTTCATGCTCAATAGACTTCCAGCGGCTTATGAAGGGGGCTAGGACAGGGGCCTTATGCTAGAGTACTTATTTTTCTGATCCCCTCTTTCAGTATCGCGTTTCTCGTTAACTAAGACCATCCCACATCCCTTTGTCTTCAGCCCAGCGCTGTGGCACACCGGGGGAAAGGCGGCATCTAGTACATGTGGCTTGGCCCGGAGGGGAGGCGAGGTGAGGTGAGACGAGGCGAGGCGTGGGACGGCTCGGCTAATGAGGACTGGAGGAAAGATGGCTGTCAATGGGGTGAGAGAAGAGAGGAAAGAGAAAAGAGGATGGCACGCCTGCTCAGATGACACCCAGAGAGATTTAAAAAAAGGGGGGGAGCCAAACCAGCTCTCTCACCCGTGGCCTGTCTGCGCTGTATGTGCCGTAGAGGAGACGGCATGCAGGCACGGCGAGGGATTTCGGCGGTGATGGAGAGATGGCAGTGGCGTATTAGCAACAAACTTAAAAGAAATAATTTACAACATTTACATGGAAAAAAGGGGCTGTTTTTGCTAAAACATGACAGATTTAGTTGCTTTAAACACCTGGTGCCAGATGGGTGTCTTCAGGGGAAAATGGACAGGAAGTGATGCGTTGTACATTACTGGCAGCGGCAGCAGTGGTTCGTTTGGACCAAACAGTGGAAGAACTGGGTAGCTCTGAGTCTCCGTGAATGGATAAGCAAAAGAATGCCACCTAGAGCTGCAACTAACAATGATTTTCATATTGAATCAGTTGGTTATTATAATTATTTAGTCTATAAAATGTGAGAAAATAGTGAAAAACACCCATCACATGTTCCCAGAACACAAGATGATGTCTTTAAATGTTTTGTTTTAACTGAAAGTCCAAAGCCAAAATCCATTTTATATCATTTACAAAGATTAAAAATAGAGACAAGCTGCACATTCTCATATTTAAGGAACTCACAGCTAATTTTTTCCATAATTTTTCTTAAATGATAATTGACCTCGATCAATTAGAAACACTTTTGTGTCGATTATGTGACAATAAAAATATCAAAACATAAAAAAAACTCCTTTGTGTTGCAAAAGGCGACGAAAACATTTCACCTGCCTGTCATCTCCCTTGTTTAATTTCAAGGAATCATCTGCCGACCTTTGACACCGCTGCAGGTATTTGGGTGTCAGCTTAAATGTATGTGTCTGTGAGGTTGTGTGTGTGTGTGTGTGTGTGTGTTCGCCGGTGTCCAACACAAAGCATTCCTCTGCACTCTGCTCGCCCTCACCAAAACAAACAGCTCCATCAGGCTCCCAAAATGAGAACCAGATTAAGCGTCGTGGCCGGCGGCCCAAGAAAGCCGCCGCAGACTCTGTGAGGCCGTATCAGTGACCTTGTCAGCCAGATGATACTGTACACACACAGCTGCAAGTGCCAGACACAAAACACACTCATATTCACCGCTGGGTTTTCCTCTCAGTGGTCAGTTTGTCAGGCGCTACAGTCAGGTTGTCCACTGTACTCATGTATTATCAGTAGAGGGTGCAAGAGATCTTATATATTTATAACTACACCTAGATTAGTGGTCTCCAACCTGTGGCTCAGGACCATCAAGGGGCCTGAAGATAAATAAGAATAAAATAAATTTCTGCTACTCAAAAGTGGGTTGATTTTTCTGGATTTTCTGAATAATTTTACCTGTTCATGCAACTATAATTTACAATATATGGAAAATTAGGAGGTCATAGGTCAAGAACAGAATTACAAACTGCTGCATTTGGAAGACGGTAGAAATAACATTAACCACCTCTGCACCAGAGCTGCAAAATAAACAGCTCAAGATGTAAAAACACTTTCTTCTCGCAGCCTCTTAATTGCAAATACACCTCAAAATCCAGCTTTTCAGACATGATTAGACAGAAACTCAACCACAGAAATCAAATTTCACTTTTCCACCCCTCACCCATCGCACTCATGCCTGCACGAACACTAAGAACCACCTCACTTTTCTCACTTTTGTTAGCCTCATCTTGTCTTTATCAGCAGGAGGTTTAGACTCACCTGGACCAGGGTCATTTGCGAGCCGAGGGCCAGCAGGATTTTCTCGGTCTTGGTGGGGTAGGGATTGTCTCGGTGCTTGTAGAGCCACTGCTTGAGCGGCCGCGCCATATCCTGCAGGGCCTGACGCTTGTGTCGCACTTTACCGCCGCTGGGACGACCCCTGTGGAGGAGCAGGAAGACTTAATGTCAGCCGACTGTAGGGAGAACTGACTGCACAAGATAGTATAGAAATGCACACGCAGATAGTTCATGTTTCAGTGAATTATGGGGCACGTTTTGGGGGGGTTTTTAGCCATTTTTCCCCATCTAAAACTGGATTTGTTCTTTTATCTTGCACATTTATTCTTTTTTTTTTTAAATTATGTTTTTTTTTTTACTTATAATGTGCCATGAAACATGCAGGATTTAGCCTTTCTTTATAGGTGCAAGAAAGGTGATTTGACATGTACCCATTCTGCATTTGTCCATTATAATCTGAATAACAAATAACAAATTAAATCTGGGAAGGCCATAAAAGAGAACCAGGATTATGTTTATTGAAGTCAACCAAACAATGTTGTGCAGCTGCAAAGCGGAGTCCTGAGCGGGCCGGCATGTTGTCTGAATTCGTTAGTCATCACACATAAAGTGAACACTCTATACAGTGTGCAATTTTCTCACCCAGAGCACTGCAATTAAGCTTAAGAGACTGTTGGATTAAACGAGAGAGAGACACAGGGAGAGAGGCAGACAGAGGCAGGGAGAGAGAGAGAAGCGGCCGCTCGCAGTTTATTTTTCATTGCGTGTCCCACAAACCACCAACACGTTGCAATGAAACAAACAAAAACATCTTGCTCAGGCGTACTATTTTTTTTTTGTGCCAGATTAACATTTCACACCCAGGAGAAGTGGATGAAGAACAATGTAGCTGGGTCGCAGTCACAGCCAAGCCATCACACAAGGGACTGACAAAAAAAACTGAAATTATACTCTGGTTTTCCTTTACAGAAAAGGAGCATGACACATGTCCAGAGGATGCTATAAAAACATCACAGCAGGGGTGGAGATTAAAAATATATATTGTGAAATCCCAAATCAGCAACTCTGTGGTGAACACAACTACTAACAGCTTTTATAAAAATCCAGTAATGATGTTATAGAACACCACAAAATATTGTGAAATCACTGCAGACTCACTATTACAAACACAGGCCCTGTGAGTTCTTAAAAGAACATCAAAACCTTTTTCATTCAGCTCCGTCTGAAGCAGCCTGTTGGGATTTCCAGCTCTGTGAAGCACTCGGTCTCACCTTAGCTCCAGGTTTTATGAACCTGTAGATGTCAGTATGGTGCTGCGCTCCGCGTCTCCCTTTATCTCACCAAAAAGCTCCACTGTCTGCAGATGTAACATATTTTAGTCTAACCTCAAGTCTGCCTGAGGTTCATGTTCTACAAATATTTTCCTTGTAATCTAGATCGGTATGAACATCCGAGAGGACGTTTTGCTCCGTGTTCTCAACTTAGGTTTAAACACTCAACCGCACAAACACACACACACACCTCTGTTTAATAATTAAATGTTCTTCATTAGTACTGATGCTTCCTTTGAGGTGACACCTTACAGTCACACAAGTTCAATAACTCATAATAATCGTGCTTATTATTGAAGGTTACTCCTGGAGGAGGCTGCTTAAGGTCACTGCTATCCCTCTGTTCTCGCACCACAAACATGAAAAGAACACAGAACAAATAACTTCACCTGATCTTTTCTGCTCCCTGTCACATTAAAGGAAAACAAAATAAAAAATATATTTTTAAAAATACACTTGGTCCTTGTGTGACTGAGTAGACCACACAGAGAGTTGAAGGGCACATTTATTTATTGGAAACAGATGGAGACCTCTATAAGACACGCTACTGAACAGGCTGACCTACTTATTAATTTTAAGATTAGCTGTGAACATCAACACCTAAATGGAGACCAGATTGGGGAACGGTAAATATGAGTTCCTTCATCCATCGCATCCTGTTGCATTAAAGCCACATGAAAAAAGTCAGACTGCATAATCAACTTGGTGTTACAGTCTGGAGATGTAAAACATTAGCAGTTATACTTTTAGACTCATAAAATACCTTCCATGTGTGTTTTATCTGCGCGTAAATTTCTACTTTTTGTGCGTAAGTGCGTAAATTACGCACAGCTGCACAAACCATTTTATCATTATATTAATTCAATGACCATTCATTTATAATAACTCGAGGAGGCTCATGCACACATGTAGATCACCAATGTAATTTTAAAGGAATGTGGCCCAAGAAGCCCAATCTGATCTTGATATTTCTTAATTTGCGCACAAACTGGAGAGATAACCGCAGATCCCTGACAAGAAAGCCATCGCTGTTGTCCACTCTCCGTGGGTCAACTTGTGCGGAGTGAAACGACCGCGAAATATAGGTATTCCTCATCAGTTAATCCACATGTTAATACAAGCCACACATGCCGACCGGCAGCGTTAAAAAGACAGCAGAGTGCTCCACATACCCGCTCCGCCTGTGTCTGATGGCCTGGTTGTCTCTGATGGTCTGGTTGCTGGAGAGGAGGTCTGGATGCTGCCCGTCCATGACTTCTAGATAATTTCTGCTGCTCATTTCCACCTCTTTCGCCTTCTCCTCGAACAGGACCTGGCTGCTCAGCTTGTTAAACACAATGGTGTTCATCTTTGGCCAGAATATTCCTCCCGGATTTCGCTGATGCGCAAAAATAACAAAAAAGAAAAAAAAAGAAAAAGAAAAATCTCCTCGGATGTGTCACAGTGTCCCCGTGTCTCTCCTGTGGAACAAGTGTGGATATTTTACAAAAGGAGAATATATATATACCGTATACACACTAATGCGGTCTTGAACTAAAACTATACCAGGAGAAAAAGTATCTTTAATATCTCTTTAACATTTAATATCAGTCCTAGAAAGCACGCACTTCTCGGATAAGTAATAATTTGACACCTTCCCTGCACTGTACGCCTGCTCACACAAATACACCGAATTAAACAGCATGTAGACTATCTTGAGCTGAAGCGGACCATGCGTAACTGCGCTGTTGTGATGCGTCATTATAAGGTCGTTCTTTGTAAACATTTGCATCTGCTATTCCAATTCATAACAAATGATTTGTGTGAACTGGTTAAGCCTAAAAAACCCAAATAGTTGCTGTTAGTTTGGTGCACATTGCATTGTACAGATGTGTTAGGAAATAAGCAACAAAAACTAAAGCAGACAGCCTCACTATGAGCAATATGGATAAATACATTTAATTGTATTCGTGTTCAGTAAACCCTATCCAAATGTTGCACTGTTTATTCAGTCTTCCTAGAAAACTATTAAATGCACTTTATTTTATTTTCTATAAACAGCTATGGAGCACAGGGAGCTCCTGCAGTGCAGTCTGCAGACTGGGTGTTTTGGATTGTAAAAACCTGATTTGAGTTTTATAAAATGCGTTTTAGAATTCCAGTACAAGCATCTTGACTATTTCTACCCAGCCTCCTCTGCACTGCGGTCGCATGTCTATAAAGCCTGAATGGTTTATTTTGGTTCGTGCTCACCCCCCCTTTTTTAATGCAAAACAAACAACCCTGCAGGCTCCAGATATGTGACATTTTTGTTTTTCTCTTCGGCTTCAATTAAGAATTTCCCTGCACAGGTTGAATATTGAATCTGTCACGGGGAAAAGACGCACCGTGATGTGGTGCCACCGGCAGCACCGGCAGATATGTGCCAGATATGTGCAGTATACCGGGCAGGGATGTCCACTGAATAAACAAACATCATACTGGCAGTGGATTTTTAATTCATATTTATATTAAATATTACATTTAATAATGATTAAAGTCTGATGTCAGAGTAAAGAGCAGCGTGAACTCCTGCTCATTCAAAGTTGTGTAAACTGGCTTTAGGTGTGTTTATCCTTCCCTACATCCCAGTTCCAACATTAACCATCAGTGTGTCAGTGTATCTCGGTCAGTTACCTGTCCCCGGCCCCTCCTGCGTCTCTCTGCTGTTTAGAACAATAATCCTGTTTCCAGTCGCCCATTCCCTGCTCACATGTTCCCGTCCTGAGATCCTGAGCTCAAACCACACGGACCGCCGTCTGCTGCTCGGCTTTATCCAGCGGCCTGCGCAGCGCCGCCCGGGACTCTGAATATCTCACCCTGCTCATGTTTCCTAGCACACGGCCCGAGCCTGCGAACATACTGTTGATGGTTTACGCCTGTTCTGGGGCCGAGGCCAGCAGAGGGAAAGAGAGGGAGGGAGGCATCACACTGCAAAAAGTGGGCTGTCTAAATCACTGAGATTCTCCTGAAACTTTACATTTTCTTTTAATATTATCGTGTTTTTTCTTGTTTTAAGTCTGGTACCGCTTTCCAATAAGGGAGCATTTATAAAGGTTTCATAAGTATTATAGTTAGTCATTAATGGCTTTATTAAAGCTGCAGTAGGTCACTTTTATAAAAAAAATACTTTTTGTCATATTTGCTGAAATTTTCACAGTGTTCTTACAGTAGTACATGAGACAGATAATCTGTAAAAATAAAAACAAATCTGGTTCTTCTGGCTAGTTCTAGTGCTCCTAATGGCATTTGCAAGAATCCAGCGGTCCTGAACGAAAACAACCAATCAGAACTGAGAAAAATATAAAGACTTGAAGATAGTGTATAATTGTTGAGTCTCATTCCCAAATCATCTGTAATTGACACCCTGGGAATAAGACTCAACAATCAACTATCTTTCTTGGCTCTGATTGGTTGTTTTCATTCAGGACCTGTGGATTCTTGCAAATGCCATTAGGAGCAGTAGGAGGAGCCAGAGGAACCAGATTTTGTTTGCTAACAGCAGCTACAGTTAACAGCAGTTATATGTTACTTTAGCAACAAGTAAAAAAAATAATAATAATTTTGCCATAAAATATGACCCAAAATCTGTGAATAAAGTGTTTTTGTATTGTAACGCTACAGTTTTTCCAACCTAATTCTTGTCTAGTTTGTGGTCTGATTAACAGTAAATTCATAAAATGCAGTGCCTCATATTGCTATTTTCACCAAAATCAGAGTTATGTTAGAAAATTGTGTTTTTGTACAGTAAGGACCACCTCCTGGCTGCACGGCTAACTGAGATAAGGGGGGTGCCGGGTCTGCAGCTAGGTATTTGTAAAAAACAGTCTGACACACAACTCCCATAACATGGCAAACTGTTACACACAGATTAAACAAATTAGTCTTACAGGTGCTGATAAGTTAATTTAGCTAGTATTAGACAGAGGCAGGCTAACTGTTAATACTCCAGGTATTAATGCTAAGCTAAGCCACGTATATAGTCTGTCACCCAAAGTTTCAATGAAGTCCAGTACATGTTGTACTCCTATGGTGGGATATATCATTTTTAAACATTAATTTAAAGTGATGTTGATCGATGTGAATGGTCTCTGGAAATAAAATAAAACATGTATAAGTTTATAAAATATAATAATGCCATAGTTGATTTTATAGGCTACTTGTTGTGCATATGCCCCAACAAATTTGCAGGTAATCAAATTACAAAATAAAATGAAACAACATTGGAACTAAGTAGAATCTTCTCACCACATGTGTGCATACAGAAAATCTGTCAATACTGAAATAAAGCTAGGTGGAAGTAATTTTTCTTACAGCCCCCGCACTGTGCATGGAGACTGAGTTAAACCTATCACCAACTGTCTGCTCCAAACATACTTTACAGTGTAGTAAAACCTGTTTTGGATGCTTGTAAAGAATGTATCAGGTTCCTTCACTGCAAGATCACACCTTGGTCCTAAATGTCCTGTTTAAACTTCTTTTTCTTATCACATTATACTTAGAAAACACAAGCAGTAACTTTTAACCTGAATAAAGCTGCCCACCTTCTTTCTTTGAACATCTTCTAACTGTCTGTAGCTGAAGTCTGTATCAAAAACAGATCAACAGTTTTGGTGCAACAATAATTATTCCATCAGATTTAAACCAAACACAATCTGAGCTGGTTTTGGTAAAATTAAAAAAGAGAGAGAGATTCCTACTGTATATAGCCATGCCACTGCTGATTACTCCTGATGCACCCTCTCATTGACTTCCATTATAAAACCTGTCACATTATGGGCCCATGAGTCATAGGTTCTGAGGTCCTCAGCTGTGTGTTCCTTTGGGGTTTATCCAAGGTAGTGATTCGAAGGACATGACTAAGCAGTAAGAGCCATATGAAGGGTTAGGGATCCGTGTAATTATTGTTTATTTGTGCTTATTTTCATTTAACGGGGGAAGTTAGCTTTTACTAACAGCTTGTGCAAACATGCTATGAATGGCCCAGTCATGTAATCACTTTAATTAAGGCTGGTGAGAGTTTATTTGCTCAGGTTATACACAATATGTACGTTTTCTTTCTCGCCTGAAGTGAACTTGTGTTACCTCCCATGACCTTGTCACCGTTATCTAAAGCTGTGGGTCAGAAGTTCTATGGGAAAATATGGAGGCTTGTCACTACAGTATAGCATCTCTTTAATCTTAATCCACCTTCTCCAAAGCCCCTGCTTTGACTCACTGTGTCTCTGTTTCAGACTCCTGCCTGTAGTCCAGTGTGGGCGTACAAAACGATTCAACAGGTAGGAGCACAACATAAATCATGATGTCCTGCTTCGTAGGGGTTGGTGGCAGGGACTCTGCAGGCGATCCCTGTACACAGCTCTGTTTCATCTCAGGCTGCAGTTCATGAACTACCCTGGCATCTGCTTTCTTTGCCCTAGCTCTACTGGTCACTTGGGTTTGACCAATAATGGTTTTTGAAGCCTGGCACCAATAGCAATATACCAATATTTTTAGTCTGAAGTTGCAGACAGCTGAGACATTGTGCAGAGTTTGACCATTTTGTGCTTAAATGACACAGTCACTCTTGCCATGGTTAAAAAATAGACTTCTGTGTGACACCTGACTCTCTTATACCTGTTGCATGAGTGAAGGGAACTCTGGAATATATTACCCCTTTAAATGAAAAGTTGAAGCCATAAATATGGAAATGAATGAGTGGTGAAGACTCCATTATATCAATTCAACCCATGAAAACAGTTGTGTAATGTCCTCTAGGGTAGTGGTTCCCAACCTGGAGGTCGGGACCCCCACTAGGGGTCGCCAAAGCTTCATGATGGGTTGCAAGGCTTTCTTGATTTTAAGGGGTGCTAGAAAATTTAAGAAATATACACAGTAGGTCTATGTCTCAGGATTTCTTTCACTCCTGTTAAAAAAAAGTAAAAGTAAAGGAAATTGTCAAATAAAACAATGGCTAGGGAGAAGATGAAGGAGGAAGAAGAGAAGAAGAAAGTAACCCTTATGATGTCATACTGGAGTCAGCTCCACTCAAAAATATGTTTTTCTTCTTGTTCCTACAGTGTGATGTTTGATCTTCAGTTTGACACTAGAAGGATTTTGTCACATTCTTCTGCTGAAAGTTTCTCTGTGCTCACTGAAAATCTGATTTTAAGGGGTCGGGATTTGTGACATCACAAATAGTTTGGAAGCCAGTCCTGGTCCAGTATGCAACTCTAGTACAGTGATGTAGAGAGCTTGACAAACACCAGTGCACATCCACTGAGAATGGACAATATAGTGAAGTAGGTGATATCTTGTGTCCAGCAGGAAAACCATTTGCATATTCAGAGATCCTGGAGGTTTTGCTGAGCTAGAAGGATTTTAATGTAGCAATTATACTATTTTGTAGAAAAACATATCAGACACACATCATTGTTCCAAGCAGCTTATTCTAATAATAATATCTTAATACTTGTCTGGAGGGGATCTTCAACAAATTTATAGCTCACTAAGCTAGCTAGTCAGTCAACAAGGTTTTTTAGTTAGACAATGAGTTAACACAGTTATTCAAGAGATGTATTTGTACCTGAGACTGCTGTCTTATTGCCTAGAACAACATTCCTCTTCTGTGGAGCAGTTTATATACTCTGGCAGAAGACGGTTACATAAAATTGGATGGAGAAACACTGCTAATAAGCGATGATAGCTTGGACTCTCTGGCTTCCCGCTCCCCTCAAAGGTCAGCACTGACAAGATGGGTTGCTTTTGGTCAATGGTGCAAACTTTCACATCCAAGTTGAACAGGACACAAGAGATTTGTGCGCAGTCTTTGTGAATGAATTCACTGATTGCTATGATTCAGTTGAAATGAAGTGATTTTGCTGTGAACTTTCAACCTTTTAAATGCTGTTGTAACTTATCCTTGGAATCTGTTGCTCTACTTTCTTTTTTTTAATCTGTCATTTGCCATTTACAATTCGTTGTGTTAGTGTAATAATAAAACTGAGGAGTACCCCTTTAATAAAGGCCCAATTTCCAATATATCCACATACTGATTTACATCAGTATATCAGATATCTTGCACTCTGCATCTCAACATCTGGAGCTTCATTTTCATACAATGCCGGGAAGGAAACCTCAGTTTAGCGCCACCCTACCTCTCCCATCCAAGACAATTTAATTTGTTATATGTCAGTGTAATTTTGGGAACATGTAGCTCTGCTCTTGCATCTAACCTCTGTAGATGTTTTATATACATATGTTACTCACTCTTGTATTGTTTTATATCACATCTACTGGAGTTCATTTGTATGTGGGTTTGGCCTGGCCTGCCAGAGGGGCGGTTGTAGTGAAAGTTTTATTTCTCTGCACTCATAACATTTGTTTTCTTCTTAAACTTCCAATTTAACTCTGACCTCTTTACCAAAAACAAAACACAGCACTTACGGAGGCAATAAAATCTTTCTGTTTTTTAATAAATAAAATATTGCAGTAAAGAGGCAGCAGGAGGCCCAAGATGAAGATCAGCATTGCACGGCCTCAAATGGAAGACTGTCTGTTTTGAGGCTGCGAGTGTAAAATCGAAAAGCAGACATTCATTACACATCATGGATCCAGCAGGGAACACCCTGTTTTTTTGCCTTGGGGTACTTCATCATTCAATGTGTATTAAAGGATCTGGCTATGAAAGGTGGCCATTACTTGAAATCAGTGTTAGCTCAATGTCAACACCTTACGCCATTACAATCCAAATTATTTT